AGTAACACTGAAGCAGTGTTAAAGTTAATGAGATAATTATGTGATTAATTAAGTGCTGATTGAGCATTAGTGATGTACACCTGCTGTTAACAAGCAGAACCACTGAAGAAAAGAGAAACAAGAATTCAGCCACAGATTTAGATAAAATCAACTGAAAGACATTAAATCTCTCAAGATCTCAGCAGAATATGATTAATCATCTCCACAAACAGCATCACCAGCTTCGCACATTACTAACCAGTTTGAATTTTTGTTTGTCATTCGTCTAAAAACTTCTTATTAAGAATTAACAGAGATTTAGATGTTATTGTTTATTGAAAATACAATTTGAAGTCACCATTGTGGAGATACGCGTATGCTTTAGTTGGGCTTTTGACCCTTGACTTCTTACCATTATTTTTTCCTCTGGTTGTTGTAATTGTGTTTATGAAACACGTTTGTTATGGCAAGAAAAATAAAAAAAAGAGAGTGTTCAGATTGTGTTTGCCATTTTTTTTGATAATGACATTGTTGTCGTGTAGTAGCCAGGTTCATTGATGTCAACAGTGGTAATGTGTAATACAGTTTATTTATCGTAACTGAATTGTCATGAAATAATAGGAAAAGCTCTAAAAACACTTTGCACACCAGAATAGAACATTTTTACTAGTTGCTTTTATTTGTTTCGTGACGTTCAAAAATCACACAAAAATTATCAGAATATTTTGTCACCATTGCTGAGATTCACATGCTGATTCTTCATGTCTATGAGTGCCAGAGTTAAAACCTCTTTATGAACCATATTTATAAAAGTCGTTTACGAAGGTTTTTCTCACATCATCTCATATAACTGCAACAATATAGATATCATAAAATGACTACAGCTTTAGATAAATTACAACCAGAAACTCAGACACGCGACATGATTTTACCATAAGGTCCTTGCCATCACATATGTGTTTAATACACACAATTGTGCTAGCCAAAGAGAAACCTTAATTTAAAAAGTCATGGGTCAAGACGCAACTAAAGCAACCACTATTCACAAAAACGGTAAGTTGAAAAAATCCGAAACGTCTGAAACTGCTTGCAGCTCAAATCAGCACAGATTCTGAAACTGCTTGCAGCTCAAATCAGCACAGATACTGAACGTATCTGTTAACCTGCTGTTAACAATACTTCAAATACATTGAACGAGTTCTGTTCAACCAAGTCTCAGCCTTTCTCACACAGAACAACCTCCTGGACAGCAACCAAACTGGCTTCAGAAGTGGATATTCGTCTGCTAAATGACTAAATGTAAATGTAAATCAGCACAGATCTACAAGTTACTCATTCAAAACTCAGATGTGGCTGGCAGTCACTCTGACTCAAAATGAGCAAATATCCTGGAGCATATCCGACGTTTTGACAACACTGTAAACCCAAATACGCTGGCAAAACTAATTCAAGGAAATTCAAGGTTTAAGTAAGCAGAACTAAATGCTAACTTGCTAATTAGTACCACAATGTTTTGATTAGCATAGAAATTGCTGAATGAGGAAGACAATATACAGCATTTAACATATACCTGTTCTCAAACTAAGCACATAATCCACTTGGCACCATGATGTTAACCCCCCCAAAAACCCAACATAATGGCAGAGCAAATTAGCAAAACATTTAATTGTACTAAATCTCAAAAAGAAAGAAAGAAAAGAAACACCATTTACTCTCCCTTTTGCGTGCCATGGTAAATCATGCTATGAAAATTTAAGTTCCTCTAAATTAAAAGAAACAAGGACATTACACTCGAAACATTGAAACAATTCAGATTACTTAAAATGTGCAGTTTCATGAAGTCAAGGAAGTTCTAAATACTGATAAAAGTACTCATAAAAGTTAGTTTGATCTATTTTTTTTAATGTAAGTTTGCCTTACTCCAAACCAATTAATTATTTTGAGCGTTAGTGTTTACAGTGAAGTCATTCAGCGCTCCAGTTACACCAACAGTACACTGTTCTGAGAACAGTAACATGACCACGGTAAAGTTAGTTTAACATAGCTTCATACCCATTAAACTCTATGCATTTAATGTTTTGAGTCCAAACCAACTTATATCACATGTCCTTTGCATAGCACGAGGCTTAAATTACAGATAAAAAATGATATTAAGACTTCCGGTTTGTTAAGATGGCGTAGACAGGCGTTGAGTCTCGCTCCCGCAACATTTTATTCTATAGCTTCCTTAAAACCCCACAACTTATTTCTCTTTCACTGCAAATTGGACAACATTTTTGGCGTGCACATATCAGTATCCAATTATGGCAGCTAAATCAGCAAAACAAGGCAAAAAGGAACAGAAAGTTGAAGCGTGTGGAGATGACGGCAAAGATGTTAGCATGGCAGCTATCGCTAACCTTCTGGAGGATCACCGGGCTGCTCTCTCTGCAGATTTTAAAGCCACTGTCTCGACACTTGAGGTAAAGCTGGATCAAATTCAAGCCACCGTGACAGAACATGGCTCGAAGATTGCTTCGCTTGAGACCCACGCAAATTCGCAGGATGAGCGCACGCACGCCTTAGAAACTATGTGTGCTATGTTAAAAGAGAGCAACTCTAAACTGCTTGCTAAACTCGTGGACCTCGAGTCTCGTAGCCGGCGTAATAATATAAGAATTATTGGGCTACCTGAATCCATAGAAGGACCTCGGCCGTCTGTCTTCTTCTCTGAGCTACTCGCAGAAGTGTTTGGGGATGGAGTCCTGGAATCTCCGCCGGAGTGCGACAGAGCGCACCGGTCACTGGCTAACAAACCAAGGCCGGGGCAGAGGCCTAGGCCTGTTATTGTCCAGCTTCACAAGTTTCAGCAGAAGGAATAGATCATTCGCGAAGCCAGAGCGAAGAGGGGAAAGCTTTATTATCGCGGCACTCCTATCGCTATTTTCGAGGATTACGCTCCGGAGGTGCTGGAGCAACGTTCCAAGTACAGGGAGGTGATGTCTGAACTTTACAAACTGGGACTAAAACCAGCGCTGCTGTTCCCGGCCAGGCTTACTATCGTTACGAAGGAGGGAAACAGAAGAAGACTTGCATCGGTCGCTGAAGCCAAGGACTACATTGCATCGTTACGTTCTGCTGAGGACTAAACTTGAAGCAACTGATGCAGTAACCTGCGGCTGGCTCGGTTGGTGACTCAGGATGTAACGTTAGCATTCGCTAAATGTTTTGAATTCTGCAAGACTTAAATGGCTGACTAGTTATCGCCTAGTTGTTCCATTTGAACGTGCATAAGTTCTGTTTATTTTAGATTTATAGATACCTCTCGTTAGGCATCATGGAGGGGTTGTGTGCACACTTGTTTTCACTTTACTTGTTGCCTTTGAAGATTTCGCGGCTGTTACACACATTTGCTGCCTTTCAGACTCTGCCGTGGCGCCTACAATACGTGCTGTCATAATACTTTAGATTGGTTCAGTTCAGTATTTTTCATGGTTATATTAGCTTATTCAGTGACTGTACATGTTACATGGTTATGTGTACATA